AACAAGCTTACTGGATCATATTCAAGCACGTCCATGAAATATAATTTCAGACAAAAGCAGAGACGGCCAGTAAAGATGCCATTCTGCAAATAGACGTTCAATCACAATGTAGAAACCTCACTGTGAAAATATAAAACGCTCAATGACTGAGTACCAGAGCTAAAATAGAGTTCATAGTTTACTAGTGACCAGCGGCTCGTCCACATCAAAGACTTGTTTGTAGGTTGAATTTAAACCTTATATGGGTTAAAAAATGGTTTGGATCAAGTATTAAATGATGCGGGTTGGTGGTTAAAAGGTTGAAAGGTTGCAGATCCAAGTTCTGAACAGTGAACACCATGGTCATGATCAAGATCACAGGTTACGTGTGATTAAATAACTGATTAATCAATGTAAGACTTTTTCCATGTACACGGCAAAAAAAATATCCCTAAATTTGCAGTTTTTCCTTTCTTTGCGATTTGCGTTTTAATTTTTTCCCAATTTTTGTATTCTTTTGAATTGCATTTTGGAATTTTGATCTTTCTTCCAACAAATTTTAACCTTGAATAGTTTGTTTTTAACATGTTTAATAGTTTAAGGTTATATATTGTCTGGGTTTGTTTTGCAGTACAAAAACCTTATTTTCTGTTATTTTACAGACTTATTTCTCTATGTATTATATTTTATATTATTTCAAACTACTAAAAATGTCAATAAAAGTCACTTTGTTAAGCTGTAGAGTTGAATTTTCAACATCAAAAGTCAACAAATCAGAGAACAAAGTCCTATATTTCAAACCTCAACATATGCAGAAAAAAACTTGGAAAAAAATACGGAAAATGTTAATTACCAGATTTTTACAGCATATAAATAAAAATAAATGGTAAAAGAGCCTGCATAACTTTAAAAACATTATGGAAAATCTTTTGTGAATTATTTGGGGGTCTTTATACATAGTTTTGATGTATGCATGTTCATTTTCAGCAATCACAAGTTTATTTCAATAGCCAATCAGACGCATCTTTTAATGTGGAGTTCATTTGACTTTTTAATCTTAATTTCACATAATTTGTTTAAGAGTTTGATAATTCAATAAAAGACTAAAGCCAAAATTGTCAGATGTGAACTCGGAATAACAAAAAAAAGTTTTTGCAAGATAAATAAAATTGCAGATTTGTGAGAAATGAACTTGAATTTTGGAGAAACTTGGGGTTGCTATACAAACTTGCGAGGGAGGGGGGTGGGGTGGGAGTCACCCTTGGAATTCCAAGATATAAAAGTCAGAATTGTGAGAAAAAAACAACAACTTTGAATTACAAGCTAGATGAAACATAAAAAATAAAAAGGTAAAAGAACCTGCATGTAGTGTTGTCAGGATACTGGAATTCTATACTGACAATTAAAACATCCATTTCCCGCTAACATTGGATCTCTGTTGAGCAAGTTCCTAAAGAGCGTTGATTGGCCATTGTGTTCGTGCTCAACAGATATGACTGTGATTGGCTGTGATGGTCACCGAACTCACAGCTGTTTACTGTTTGCAACCACAGATACAGGGACACTGGAGCACTTTAAAGCCGCAAAGATCAGCCGGTCTGTTTATAAGCTGACACAAGAGCGATCTGCTGATGAACTGACTGATCCTCATGGCTTTAAAACGCTCCAGTGTCCCAGTGTCTGTGGTTCCACTCAGTAAACAGTGGTGAATTTGGTGAACTGATGACCTTCTCGGCCAAATCACAGTCATTTTTGTTGAGCATGTGAAAGCAATGGCAAATCAGCTCTGTTTAAGAATGCGTTCAAATGTTAGCCGGAAACAGACATTTTGAAAATTTCAGTATCAACCTGTAACAACCCTACCTGCATGATTACAGAAATCAATATGGAAATTATGCAAATTCTTTGTTTTTTTACATTGTTTTTCCTAAATTGATGTATGCATGTTGACATTTTAAGCAATCACAAGTTCATTTCACTGGCCAATCAGACATCTTTTAATGTAGAGATTCTTATACATTTTAATCTTATTTCACATAATTTGTTTGCGAGTTTCATAATTCAATAAATGAATGAAGCAGAAATTGTCAGATCTAAACTCGAAATAACAAGAAAAAAACTAAGCAAGATAAAAATGATCTCTCTGAATTGAGAGAAATGAGCCTGAACTTTTGTGAAACTTTGAATTGCAATACAAACTTGGAAAAATAAATTAATAATAAAAAAAATTTGTCAGATATTTATGTCAGAATTGTGAGAGAAACAAAATGAAATTCCAAGCAAAAAACATGGAACTGCAGATATGAAACTGGAATTGTGAGACAAAAACTTGGAATTGCAAGCTAAAAAAAAAAACAGAACTATGAGATATGAAGTCGTAGTTGTGGTGAATATTGAAACTGCAAGCTAAAAATGGTGTAATATAAAACCGAAATTGTAAGACAAAATGTTTAATTGGAAATAGGAAAAATATTTTAATTATAAAAATTAAAATTAAAATAAAACTCAATTTAGTGGGGGAAACAATAAAATGACAAAATAAAAATTACCCTTTTCATTTTATAATAAACAAATTTTAAAGTGAAAAAAACAAATTTCTAAGTTTCTAAAACCACATAACACGATTTTTTTAAGGAATGTTTACCAAGGATGTTTTCTTGCTAAACTGATTGCAAAGAAAACAACAGAAATGGAAACATGACAAATTTATTTTACTTGATACCGCACACTCTGCAACATGTTTAAAAACAATTAGATCTGACCGAAGGCTTCAAACAACCATCCATACAATAACAAATCAACATTGTAAACCCATCCATATCATTTACAATCATTCATTTATCAAAAACATTCAAATAAACTACAGTACAAATCATGCAACTGTTCCAAATATTACTCTGATATACTCAATGTTTAGTTACAAATATTACTGTACATTGCACAGTGTTGAAGACTTTATGATCACTGCGATGAGATTAAATGTCATACAAGTTATTTTATCAAACTCACGAGACAAGCAACAAACAAATCTCAGCCCATTCCTCTTGACCATTAGATTTATTAAATCGTTAACTCGTTACATTTCAAATCTACTGAAGGAGAAAAATAAAATCACATGCATTATGATGACTGGGCGATATCAGCAAACCACTGGACTTTTCACTGTTGACTTAGCAAACTCAAGCAATACGGACATGCTGACTTTTCAATTTCACTTCTAGATGCCCAGTTATAAATTAATCATCTGGAACACTGCGCTTACACAATGAATAAAAGATTATTCATTCATTCAATTTTCGGCTTAGTCTCTTTATTAATTTGTGGGTCGCCACAGCGAAATGAACCACCAACTTATCCAGTATATGTTTTACACAGCGAGTGCCTTTCCAGCTGCAACCCATCACTGGGAAACATCCATACACACTCATTCAAACACATACACTACGGTCAATTTAGCTTAACCAATTCACCTGTAGCACATGTTTTTTAGGCTTGTGGGGGAATAAAAGATTATCCTTAAAGTAAATAAAAATAAAATATTATCATTAAAGATTAAACGCGCATAAAATTGGTTAGAAACGTTGTTCGAGTTTGGTTAAAACTGGCGATTTTCAAACCGCACACTTATCTTTAGAGATTCATATTATGCCTATAAATGATAAAAGAATTAAAATCATCATTTTTTTTGTAAACCAGAGCAAAAAGCATGTATATAATACATTTTTACCATGATTTACAAAAGATGAAATAAAATGTAATTCACTATAACGGTAGTTTAATTTAAGTTAGTGCAAGTGCAGCCATCCATAAAAAAATATGAATTTAAAATATTTATTCTATGTCATTTTCCTTCAAATCTATTGATCTTAACTGTATAGCATTCATTCATTCATTTTCTTGTCAGCTTAGTCCCTTTATTAATCCAGGGTCGCCACAGCGGAATGAACCGCCAACTTATCCAGCAAGTTTTTACGCAGCGGATGCCCTTCTAGCTGCAACCCATCTCTGGGAAACACACACACACACACACACACACAACGGACAATTTAGCCTACCCAATTCGCCTGTACCGCATGTCTTAGGACTGTGGGGGAAACCGGAGCACCCAGAGGAAACCCAGGCGAAGGCAGGGAGAACATGCAAACTCCACACAGAAACGCCAACTGAGCCGAGGTTCGAACCAGCGACCTTCTTGCGGTAAGGCAACAGCACTACCTACTGCGCCACTGCCTTGCCCACAGTATATAATATCAACTTTAATAAATAATACAAAAAACTAAATTACAGAACTTAAACTTGATGCTAAACGATTCATTCGATTATATTTTCATTTAAAACATTAAAGCAAAGACTTTTAATATGCTTTCTAATTATAATAATTCAAAATTAAATCTATAAATTCTAATTGGACATCACTCAATTTGATGCACACACCAAAATAGGTTATTTATTAATTTTCCTTTGGCTTAGTCCCTTTATTTATCGGGGGTCGCCACAGCGGAATGCACCGCCAACTTATCCAGCACATGTTTTACACAGCGGATGTCCTTCCAGCTGCAACCCATTACGGGAAAAAACCCATACACACTCATCCACTACAGCCAATTTAGTTAATTCAATTCACCTATAGCGCATGTCTTAGGACTGTGGGAGAAACAGTAGGAGACCCACGAGAACAAGGGGAGAACACACAAACTCCACACAGAAATGCTAACTGAACCAGTCGTGACTTCTTGCTGTGAGGCAACAATGCCAACCACTGAGCCAATGTGTCACCCCCAAAATAAGTTGTCTCATCTTTTCATTCATTTATTTTTTTTTAAGTAAAAATATTGTCCTAAATTAAACATTCTTACATAAAAAGAAGGGATGACCACCAAATCTTTATTCTAGCAAAAAAATGCTCAATGATTAAAACAAAAAAACTATTCAAATTTAAGTCCAAAGACTAAAACAGCAAGAAAACTATTCAAAAGCATGAAAGGTCCAACAAATATGATGGAAATGTAGAGTAAACTCACCTCAAAGTGCTCACTGCAGAGAAGCCGCTGCTGACATCTTAGTGTAAAGCCAACAGCCACTGTGTACAGAGAGAGAAGGACAGACAGAAACACGGTCAGAGAGCACAGAGAGAGAGAACTTATAAAGCACAGTGTATCAGCTGTGTTTCCCTCACACACTCAAACGCTTCCTCCGCTGGATTAAGTTTCCTCCTATACACCTATGACGGCCAGCCATGTGACTGCTGATCAACACTGAGTCAGGCGTCTCTCACACACACACACACACACACACACACACAGACACACACACGGCTAATTAAGATATTTTATCTGCATAACTGACACTATGACAATTAATAATCAATTTTAAAATCTTTTAAAAGTTAATGTAGTTACAAAACAAAATGTCTTTTTTCCCCTTCATGACCAATAAAAGGCTGAACTGTATATTTTACATTTTTACATCTCTGATTCTGACAATTCTGAATCTTATAATTAATATTATTATTATTATTATTATTACTACAACTACTACTATTATTTAATATTATTATTATTATTACAAGTAATAGTAATAATAATAATAATAATAATAATATTAAAATAATATTATTATTAACTAATATTACTAATTATTATTAACTAATATTACTACTACAACTACTACTACTACTACTACTACTACCTTATATTATTAACTAATATCGTTATTATTATTATTATTATTATTATTTACTAATACCATTAATTATTATTAATAACCATTGACAATTATTATTACTAATGTTGTTATAATATAATGTTATAATATTACTACTACTACTACTACCACCTAATATTGACTATTATTATTATTATTACTATTTTATCTAATATTACTATTATTAATAACTAATATTAGTATTGTTAATATTATTATTTTTAATAACTAATAATCCTATTACTGTTACTATTATTATCGCTACTATTACTACTACTACTGCTACTACTATTATTATTGACTATTATTATTATTATTATTATAATATATGAACTAATATTACTATTACTATTATTCATAACTAATTTTTATTATTTTTAATACTACTATTATTATTATTATTATTATTATTATTAACTAATATTACAATAATAATAATAATAATAATAATAATAATAATTACTATTATTAATAACTAGTATTATTATTAATATTATTGTTATTAATAATTATTGACCATTACTATCATTAACTAACATCATTATTAATAACTATAGATTTACTACTACTACTACTACTACTACTATTATTATTACTACTACTACTACTACTACTGTAATTTATTAGTTCATTTATTACTCATTTTGATGTAAGAAAAAAAATAATTATTATGTTAAGGCCTTAAGCATTTTTATTTTTAGTTGATAATCAACTATGCCTGGTTGTTTTTTGATACAACAAATATGCATGACTATATTCATGCATTATCATCATCATCAAGTAGTAGTACAATTAAAATATTGTACAATAAATATTTTTGTTGTTATTATTATGCATTAAGTTTATACAATATTATTTGACAACTAATATGCAGAAAATTATTTTATTTTTAATTGCTTATCTATTGACACAACACTGTTATCCTGAACATCAGTAAAAACGTGCGTCCAAATGGCTCATTTACTCCAAAACCTGAAAGTCGAGCCCTGAAGTTGCTATACACGTCTGCAACTATTTGTTTAAACAGGCAGCCAAAAGTGCATACAGGAGTGTGCGTGTGTGTGTACCAGTGTGAGTGTGTGTCAGTGGGAGTCACATGGTCTTGGATCAGCCTAAAGGCCAGCCAGAATTAAAGCGTTAGCTTGCTTCAAAGCTTGGGGTTTTCCTCAATCCCAAAAAAAGCTTCAGGAATAGAGGAACTTGGACTGGCCAATGACCTCTTTTAATGATTTAAAGAGGCAGTTCTCCCAAAAATAAATATTTACTCCCCCTCATGTTGTTATAAAACTTTATGGGGTTTCTTTCTTCTGTTGAAAAATGTAAATAAACAGGATATTCTGAAGAATGTTGGAAACTGCTAGCCTTTGACATCTTAGTGGGGGAAAGTCAACGGCTAACAGCTTTCAACATTCTTCAAAATATCTTCTTTTTCATTCAACAAAAAAAGAAACTTAAAATAATTGAAATGTAAGCACTTTTTAAGATTGACTTGAAGAGAAAATGTTCTTGGGCTGCACAATATTGAAAATTATTTGTAAATAATTCAGAATTTTACATTTATTATGATGCTTTTGAAGGGGAACGTATCTGGTTATAGTTTATTATATTTAATGCAAAGTTGCATACCACAACTTTGTATCTTTGCTATGTGGTATTCATGTGGGAAAAAAAACGCATAAAAAAAACTAAGGCCACGTTTACACACAAACATTTTAGTTTTAAAACGGCATTTTAGAATGAAAACAATGTACGTCCACACTGGCATTTCACCTAGTGTTCCTGAATAACTCCGTCCACACTTCATCTAGGATCTAGCGCTGGATCTAATCTTACTATGGTTGTTAAATGCAATGTGTAATTCATCTTGTATTCTACATCTAACAACATGTTACCCAACTTGGGTCTTTATTTGTTCTTAGGTAACGTGCCTTGGCTGAGAGCAAAAATAAGTTAATATATTAATTTAAACGCGAACACTGCAGCACATTTAACCAATTGCCTACAAGTGTGAAATAGCATTGTATAATCCTCATTGTGTAAATAGGTGGTTCTCAAACGTTTTTCATCAAGTACCACCACAGAAAAGAAATTGTCTCTCCAAGTACCACCAAAATGAGCAGTATTGAAATACAGTAGCGCATTAGGCCCAGTAAAGCAGCTACAACTCTGCACAGTTAAAAAATGTGGCAGATTACCTCAGAAATATAGGCTATATGTCATATATGGCATATTATATACATCATTTTTGATAAATTTTGAAATGTGTGTAGCATGTACATGACATATTTCATTCCTCTGCATACCACTAGAAGGAAGCCTGCGTACCACTATAGTGGTACACGTACCACAGTTTGAGAGCCACTGGTGTAAATAATTCTACACAAGTAATCTTTAAGCTACAATTGTTTACTTTATTATGCCCAAATGACTTGTCACAGGCCTTAAACGCATGCAAATAACTGCACTCTAAGGTGACTCCTCTATATTCTGAATTGTTTTCTCTGGTCAACAATAATACCAATTCAATGTTGCAGATACTGCAATGAGACTATTGTGGATTCAGACATTGCGATATCAATGCTGAAATGATTTATTTATTAATATGGATAGAATTTATGACACCTATTCAAATCAAGGTTTCTTGTGTAGTGCTTTTCACAATATTTATCATTCCAAAGCAGCTTAACAGAAGGTGCACATCATTAGATTACAGTTATTAGAAAGTTAAGGAGTTGGTTGGTAATATATAAACTTGGTTAACCTGCAGTATATGATGTCTTTTTAAAAGTAATTATACACACACACACACACACACACACACACACACACACACACACACACACACACACTAATATTACATGTTAGTGAAGTGTATGTGTATTAAGTGTTTGTTGTCCTTGAAGATTTCAGATGGTTGGTATATAACAATTATGGTCTCATTTGTAGTCATAATTCCTTATATTTCGTCTTAAACACTAAGAAAATGGACATGAGATAAGAAACCTGAGAGCTATTTAAAATTATTTAACATAGAACACAATATATGAGAGAAATTAAGACTTATTAAAAGGTTTAGTTTGTTCAATAATTTGCATTTGCTCACTGAAGTGGTTCTAAACTCTTCTATAAAGCACAAAACAAGATATTGTGAATATGCTGGAAATAAGCAGCCATTTTAACCCATAGAACTGGAAGTGGAGGTCAATGGCTGTTTTTGTCTCCAACATTCTTCAGAATATCTTCTTTTGTGTTCAACAAAAACAAGAAAAAGATGGGGAAATAATGAATGAATTGCAAAACTTGTGAACTGTCCTTTTTAGGTCTACATATTGGGTTTGAACGGTCAACTTTAAAACCTTAAGATATTTTTCATTTTAGTGTGAACTTTCCCTTTAAGGCCAACACATACATGACCATCGGGTTGAAGTCATGTATGCACAAGACTGATAGCAGACTTCTCACTATGAGGGAGCGGAGGCGGTCAGGAGTGTCTTTTAAACAGAGGGTTACAAGTCTGTCGTTAGAGCTTAAGTTATGTCATTTATGCAGGCTTGTCATACCATTAGCATGACAAACAGAGCAGTGTCCATTCACAGATTTAGTGCTGTGACTCCAACAGTTTAGGGTGAGGTTAGGCGTGAGGAATCTTAACCATTGGTCCACAGATAATAAAGCCGAATGTGTGCGGACAACTCTTGTGCAACAACACTTTTTTTGACTTTGACAGTCAAGTCTAGAGGCTCCCTATTATAAGCTGACTGGGGCTGGACCTGTAATGGAAAGTAAAGTAAATGTAAAGTAAAATGTAATGCAAAAGTAAAGCGTAAAAGTAAAACCTGTAAAATGCAAAAGTAAAACCTAAAATGCAAAAGTAAAAGGCTAAATTAAAACCTAAATAAAAAAGTAAAACCTAAAACGCAAAAAGTAAAACCCAAAAGTAACAAGTAAATCCCAGAATGTACAAAACATAAGTAAAACCCAAAACGTAAGAGTAAACTTTAAAAGAAAAACCTAAACGTAAAACGTACGATAAGTAAAACCTAAAAACAAAAAAGTAAAACGCAAAAGTACAACCTAAGCCTGAACCGTAATAGTAAATCCAAAACATAAGTACAAGTAAAATCTAAAATGTAAGACGAACAAGTAAAATGCAGAAGTAAAACCTGCATGAAATGTAAAAGTAAAACCTAAACGTAAAACATACAATTAAAACCCAAGTAAAACCAAAGTAAAACCCAAGTTAAACCCAAGTAAAAAAAAGTAAAACGTACAAGTAAAACCTAAGTAAAACTTAAACGTAAAAACCTAATGTAAAATCTAAACGTAAAATGTACGAGTAAAACGCAAGTAAAACCGAAATATGAAACGTACAAGAAAAA